CATCATCAGCATCATCATCAGCATCATAAGCATCGTCATCATCATCATCATCATCATCATCATCATCACCACCATCGCCATTATCATCGCCGTTATCGCCACCATCATCGACCTCCACTTCGGCACACCCCTCACACGTTTCGTGGCCCCATAGGGAGCTCCTTCGACGATCCCAGTGCCACCGTCCACTTGAGTCCCCCACATTGATTTCGGCGCACACCTCGCACGTTTCGTGGCCCCATAGGGAGCTCCACCAAAGGCCCCGGTGCCACCGTCCACATGCGTCCCAACATTCACTTCGACACACCCCTCACACGTTTCGTTGCCTCATAAGGGGGCTCCACCGAAGGCCCCAGTGCCACCGTCCACATGCGTCCCGCACACGCATTTCGGCACACCCCTCACACGTTTCGTGACCCCATTGGGAGCTCCACCGAAGGCCCCAGTGCCACCGTCCACATGCGCCCCCCACACCCATTTCGGCACACCCATTACACGTGTGGTGGCCTCATAGGGAGCTCCACCGAAGGCCGCAGTGCCACCGTCCACATGCGTCCCGCGCACCCATTTCGGCACACACCTCACACGTTTCGTGGCCCCCCGCATCGGGAGCTCCACCGAAGGCCCCAGTGCCACCGTCCATATGCGTCCCCCACGTCCATTTCGGCACACCCCTCTCACGTTTTCGTGGCCCCATAGGGAGCTCCACCGAAGGCCACAGTGCCACCGTCCACATGCGTCACCCACACACATATCGGCACACCCCTCACACGTTTATGTGGCCCTTCCCCCATAGGGAGCTCCACCGAAGGCCGCAGTGCCACCGTCCACGTGCGCCCCACGCACCCATTCCGGCACACACCTCACACGTTACACCTCACACGTTTCGTGGCCCCCGCATCGGGAGCTCCACTGAAGGCCCCAGTGCCACCGTCCACTTGAGTCCCCCACATAGATTTCGGCGCACACGTCACACGTTTCGTGGCCCCATAGGGGGCTCCACCGAAGGCCCCAGTGCCACTGTCCACATGCGTCCCGCACACTCATTTCGGCACACCCCTCACACGTTTCGTGACCCCATAGGGAGCTCCACCGAAGGCCCCAGTGCCACCGTCAACATGCGCCCGCCACACCCATTTCGGCACACCCCTCACACGTGTCGTGGCCCCATAGGGAGCTCCACCGACGGCCCCAGTGCCACCGTCCACATGCGTCCCCCACTCTGATTTCGGCACACATCTCTCACGTTTCGTGGCCCCATAGGGAGCTCCACCGAAGGCCACAGTACCACCGTCCACATGCGCCCCGCACACATTTCAGCACACCACTCACACGTTTCGTGGCCCCGTAGGGAGCTCCACCGAAGGCCCCAGTGCAACCGTCCGCATGCGTCCCCCTCGCCCATTTCAGCACACACCTCACACGTTTCGTGGCTCCGTAGGGAGCTCCACCGAAGGCCGCAGTGCCACCGACCGCATGCGTCCCCCACCCCTATTTCGGCACACCCTTCACACGTTTCGTGGCCCATAGGGAGCTCCACTACAGGCCGCAGTTCCACCGTCCACATGCGTCTGCCGCACCCATTTCGGCACACCACTCAGTGTTCGTGGCCCCATAGGGAGTGCCGCAGAAGAAGATATTCACAATTGCGGCACTCACAACTGCATATGGTTGGGTCTTTCGCCAGGCTAAGTATTTTTCCTGTCTCTATCTCTGTCTCTGCCTCTGCCTCTGCCTCTGTCTGCCTGTCTGTCTGTCTGTCTGTCTGTCTGTCTGTCTGTCTGTCTCTCTCTCTCTCTCTCTCTTCATCCTTTTTCTCCAAATAGGCTTGCCCCATAGGATGTCTAAGTCATTCTCTAATAATTGGTCCGTTGCCCCCCGTAATTTCCCCTAATTTCTATTGCTATGCCTATGCCTATGCCTATCCCCCCTTTGTCCAATGCCCCCCCCTTATGTATGCTTGCTTGCTTGCTTGCCCGCTTACTTGCTTGCTTGCTTGCGCGCTTGCTTGCGCTTGCTTGCTTGCTTGCTTGCTTGCCTGCTTGCTTGCTCGCGCGCTTGCGCGCTTGCTTGCACGCTTGCTTGCTTGCTGAGTTGCGGATTCCAAGCATGCTCGATTCCTCTGATTTCTTGATTTGAGTCGTCGAATCTATTTGGAGTCAACGCTGGCTGATATTCTAGAGCTGGGCCAATGCGAGCACAGGAATGGGAGAAAGAGGAGGATGACGAGGATATGACACTGTATTGAGGAGTATGGAGCGAAGAGTGAGGAGGAGTGGGATGGAGGTGGATGCAATAAACGGGGGGTAAGTGGGTAAGGGGGCAAGCGGCGGAAGGTGTGGGGAGCTGGGGACAAGGTCTTCCTGTATCCTGTCGGAGCTTTCGGTGTCTTGTTGAGGCTTTCGGTGTAACGTGGTGGTGGGGTTATCTGTGTCCTGGTGACTCTTGTGTGCTTGACAGGCTCTTGAGAGGTTCTGATAAGCTCTTAAGAGGCTTTTACGCTGCTCTTCAGACCCTCTTACGGTCCTTACCGTTGCTCCCTCTGCGCCCTTTTCGTACATGTGCACGTGCGCACGTATCGCGCATGTGGATCAAGTGTCCGGCTAATGGACTGGACGCTTCCGCGTCTATTGGGAAAACAGGTCCGCCCGTCTCTTTTCTAGCACGTGCGCATCACCACCCATACCTTTACTTCTACTTACCCGAAATTTATCGCTATGTCGCGCAACATCGTTAAGGAACTATCCATGTACAAGATCCGTGAGAAGGGATCCCCCGAGTTAAGATACGAGAGCCAGGAACGAGCACAATTGTCAGGGAACGTCGATAACCGGACACATTATTTCTGTTAAACTCAACATCTGCTATCAGGGAGGTCTTGACAAGCTCTCAGGTTGCTCTTAATGAGTACATTCAGAGGCTCTTCAGAGGCTCCTGAGAGGCTTCTGGGATGCTTCTGCGGGGTTTCGGAGGGGATTCTGGCGGGGTTTGAGAGACTTCTGGGAGTCTGCGAGGTTTCTCTGAGAGAATTCTGAGAGGCTCGTGAGATCCTTCTGAGAGACTTCAGAGAAGCTCCTGAGAGCCTTCCCAGATGAGAGCTTCTCTCCCTTCGTCCCTCGCCTCTCTCCCTCTCTCCCTTCGGCACCCCTCCCTCTCTCCCTCTCTCCCTTCGTCCTCCCCTTGGTTCCCTCCCCCCGTCGCCCTCCTCCCCTCGTCCCGTCCCCTTTGCCTCAGGAGGAGGAGGAGGGTTTGGAGGAGACAGCCGCAGGTATCAGTTCCACCGATTCGCGGCCGAGGCTTGCTTGGCAGGCTGCCAGGGCTCGGCTTCAAACTTCTCGTGGCTCCAGTGGTCGCGGCTCGGGGCGCGTCGGGCCCCTTCTGAGGGGTCGCGGGCGGGCGGGACCCGAACCCAGGCACCCCCCTTGCGGCTTTTCTTCTTCTTCTTCATCAGCATATTCTTCTTCTTCTTCTTTTTTATATCATTTTGTTTTCATTTATTTATATTATGTATATTAGTATTATTATTATGATTAATAGTAGTACTTTCTAATTAATAATGCATTTATTCATTTATTCATTCATTTACATATGTTTATATACCTATCTATTAGTATTATGCTGATTAGTATCATCATCATTATTATGATCATGATTATTAGTATTCTTATTAACCCTATTGTTATTGTTTTTGTTATTATTATTATTATTACTATCATTATTATTGTTGTCATTATTATTATTATTATCATTACTATTATTGTTTATTATTATTATTATTATTATTATTATTATTATTATTATTATTATTATTATTAGTAGTAGTAGTAGTAGTAGTAGTAGTAGTAGTAGTAGTAGTATATATCCGTATATAAAAATATAAAGGAAAACGCAGCTCTCTCTCTCTCTCTTCCTCCCCTGCGTCTCGCCTCTTGAGTTGGTGCCTAGGCTTGGGTCTTGCCCTCAGCCCAGGGTTATGTGGGGCCTCGTCGTTGGGCAGGAAGGGTCTTCGGGCTCAGTTTGTGAGCGGCTTGGAGGAAGCTGAGGAGGGGGCCAGGGGGCCATCCAACGGGCCACCCGAAAGGCCAATTCGGCCCGTTAGAAACCAGACGCTGTTTTGCATCATGCTGTTTTGCGTAGATATCGCAGATCATTTCTTAGAGGCCGCGCCAGCATCATTCACCTGCAATCCAAGATGTATTCACACATGGTGGCGGACACAGAAAGACCAATATATTTTTCATGGGAAGCGCAGAATCCACATTGTACCCAGCAGGAGCACCATTATAACTCTGGATCAGCATACGGATTTTTCTACATCGTGTTATTCGCCGGCCCAACGGGCCAGGGCGTGCTAAGATCTCCGGTAACAGGTAAACAGTATTTCTAGTTCGCGCGCGCAGGGCGGCCCCTGAGGGTCCCCGAGCGAAAAGTACCCCGGGCGATCCCCGGCAGGTCCCCGGCAGACTAGGGGTCAGAGATGCCGGAATTCTGTTTCGGAGCCCAAGAGGGCTCCAGATCGCCCCAAGAGGGCCCCAAGAGGCCCCAAACATGGTCCAAGAGGGGCCCCAGACGCCCGAAGATCGCTCCACGACGCCCAAGATGGCCTCCAGACGGCCCAAGAGGCCTCCAAGATGGCCCAAGAAGCATCTAAGAGGCCTCCAAAAAGGGCCCCAAGAAGCAAACATCGTTGATTTTCCATTGGTTTTTGAAGGTTTTTGGCGTTCTCGCATTTTCAGCTTCCGACGCTCCAAGACGCCCCAAGAGGCCCCCAAGACCGCCCCAAGACCGCCCCAAGACGGCCCGAGAGGTCTCCAAGAGGGCCCCCAAACGGCCCAAGATGGCCCCAAGACTGCCCAAGAGGCCTCCAAGACGGCCCAATACACCCCCAAGACGGCTCCAAGAGAGGGCACAGACGGGGGACCCGAACGGGCATTTCGACATCTTTGCCCGAAGAGGCCCCTAGGAGGCCCCAAGAGGCCCCCAAGAGGCCCCAGGAGGCCCCAAAAACACCTCCAACAGGCCCCCGAGAGGCCTCCCAAGAGAACCCACGAAGGCTCCCAAAGAGGCGTCTTGTCCACGACCAGGGTTGGCCCCAAAAATACTCCAAGAAGCCATCGAGAGACCGCCTCCTCGTCCTCATCCTCCCCTCTTCATCCTCCTCCTCCTCCCCCTCCTCCAACTTCTTCTCGCTCGCCACGAACACACAAACATATAGCACCAGCGATACAATGTGGGCCGGCGGAATGAGCGAAGCGATTAAATAAAGTTTGAGCCAAACCAGCCACAATGGGACACGCAACAATTTTTTGGAACACAGATCACATCAGTCGCGGGAGCCTGGGGGGTGGGAAGCTGGCAGGATCTGTGCGACCGCGAGTGGATCACCGTGCACTGCAGCACGCTCATTCACATGGAGAACTCGGGGTGCTCGTGGATGTTCCAGCACGACAAGGTGCAGGAGATCGCCGTCGCTCACCCTCCTCTTCCTTCCTTCCTTGCTCCCTCCCTCCCCTCCCTCCCTCCCCTCCCTCCCTCCCTCCCTCCCTCCCTCCTTACTCCTTCTTCCCTCCTCGGATCCTCCCTTTCGGCCGTGCCGCCGTGGCGTGGGGGTGCGGCGCCTTTGACATCCTCACCTGGTCAGAACGTCTTAGAACGTCGTAGGGCATGGCAGGGACATCTCCCATATCTACGGGTCGCACTTGGATTTGTCGCAAGCCTGACGATGCTCGTCGATTCGTCGACTCGCCAGGCGACTGGAGCATGGCGATGCGTGCAATGCGCCCCTCTGGGCTTCTATTCACGTTCGCAGAGCCCCAGCTATTGCATCCGGGGACCACACGGGAGAGGGGTCTGAGGTACGCCGCCACTCACGAGACGTGCACAATGTGCTGTGGTCTGTATTTCGGAGCGAGCTTCCGGCCCTCCGGCCGTCGCCCACGCTGAGCATGCGAAGAGAGGGAAGGGTTGGAGGATGGCGTCGGCTTACGTAGGATGGTCCAGGCGTCCTCGATTGGTTGGGAGGGAGGGTTGGAGGGTTGGAGGGAGGGAAGGGAGGGTTGCAGGGGGGGAGGGTTGGAGTGTTGGAGGGGAGATGGCCCAGGCCTCCTGCATGGGGGCCACTGTGCGGTCTAAAGGTCGCACCGCATCGCCGGTGCGCAGGCGATGCAGCATGGTGTGGAGCCCGGTCTTCTCAATTCTGGCATCCCGGGTGCGTGACCGATGAGTAGGAGAACGCGGTGCGACATTGGGGCCCCGTGCTCCCTGGCCCCAGCTGAGGGGGATTCTCTGCGGGGAGGGGAGGCGACGGGGGGGGCTGAGGCCGCCCTCCAAACAACGGCTCTTCGGTTATGTCGTCCTGCTCCCGCGGCCTTCCCCAAAGCGTTCCGCGAGAGGTGTCGGATGCAGAAGCGGCCTGGGCGGCCGCCTAGTGCGTGTCGTCCTCCGCACACTCCCCCCCGCCCTCCGCCTGCCTCTTCCCTCGTTGTCCCTCTCTCTCTCTCTTTCTATCTCCTCCTTCCACCTCCTCCCTCCTCCTCCTGCTCCTCCTCCTCCTCCTCCTCTTCCCTGTTCCTCCTCCTCCTCCACCTGCTCCTCCTCTTCCGGGTGGCTCCCCGGATCTTCACGCGATCCAAAGATTTCTGGAATCGATCTGGATGCCAGAGCTCCGATTGTCTTCCTCAGAATGTCTTGCCGCCGCGCCGCTACAATTCGGGCTCGGGAGGACTTGGAGGAGGGAGAGGAACGGAGCTTGGCAGAGAATGGGAAGGATACGGAGGAGCCGTCGTGCTGCCACGGGATGAGGAAGAAGTGCCAGCAGGGGTGATGCGATGACGGCCGTGGCCATATTGAAAAGAGCTAACTTTCGGGCCCTGGTTCCCCCTTTTGGCGAGGATGCATGCAGAAAGGTGCAACTTCATTGCGCTGGCACTCGCTCGCTGTCTCGCGCACGTGTGCGCACGCGCCTGCGCCCCCGACCGCTCGTTTGCTCACTAGTCGCTGCGCACGCAGACGTGCAGGCGTGTGTGCAAACACTTTCTCGTTTTCACAGTGCGCAACTGTCCCTCTCTATCTCCTTCCCTGCCCCGCCCTCTCTCCATAGTTTGTTTTGTTTCCCTGCTTCTCAACTCAATGCCACCCACATCGTGCTACGACGTACCAGGCGCCTGCTTGCTCCTCTGCTGTGCACGAGGCGGCCACCTCAGAGCGAGCTTGGCCTGACCAGCGCAAGCAACGGCAATCACGGAAGCGCTCGACCTTGGGGCCGCAACCGTGCCGTGCCAGCATTTATGCAGACGAGCGCGATCTTCGGAGAACCGAAGAGTCCAGGAGTGGACGCTGGACGGGCGCAGGGCCCGCAGGCGTGCGCTAGCACGACGGGCTGGCCGCATCCGCGCGGCTCGTGTTCAGCGTGTCATTCCGTTGCCGCGCTCCTCGGAGGACCTCGAGAGGATGTACTTCCTGTTTAGCCGGGTGCCAGCAACGCTCAAGGAGGTGCAGAGAGTCCCGCCCTGCGCGCTTGCCGCTGGCGCCCGCCCGGCGCGCGCGAGCGTCCTCGGGCTTACTCGGCAGGGGGCGGGGGGGGCGCCGTGAGGGAGGAGAGTCGATATGGGAGAGACAGAGGGGGAAGAGAGGGAGATGGAGAGGGAGAAGGGGAGATAGCGACATAGGAGAGAGCGTGATCCACCGCCGCTTTACTGTGGAAAATTCTCCCCCTTTTCCTCCGGAACCCGGGGGTCCCCCCCCCTCCGAAAATCCCCCCCTCCCCCCCGTGCTGGACCCCCCCCCCCTCCCCCCTCTGAATGTGATAGGGGTATCTCATGTTGCTAGCAGTTGTATCGAGTTTGTTTCATGTGCTTGACTTCTCGCTCGCTGCTATCGTTATCATTGCAGTGTGCCGCCGCCACCTCGGATCAGGCGAGGGTGGGCGGGATTCCATTCTGGATGCGCCTGCGAGTTCGCAGGCAGTGGCGCGCTCTGGGGACGTGCCAGGAAAAATTTGCGAGGGCAGCGGGTGCCCTCTTTATTTCTCTGATTGTGTTCTGACAATCCAGCGTCAATATAGCGGAACATATTGACGATCCTGTGTTGAGGAGCTCGAGGCCCTGGTCTCCTTGGTCGTGGACCTCTTTCGGGCTTCCTGGGATTCAGATTGGTAGCGGAGCCTGTGGTTTCCGCCACGGGCTTCCACCTGTCTCGCCGCCATGGCGTCGAGCGGCGCGGCCTCTACGACCTCCAGGGTGGAGGTGCCGACGTGGAACGGGGAGGCCGACAAGCTATCCAGCTACCGTTTCGAGGTGTCCATGTTCGTGAAGAGCGTGCGCGTGGCCGACCGCTACGTCTGCGGTCCACAGCTGGTCCGAGCGCTCGGACCGCGAGTGAGGAGCGCCGTGGAGAGCTGCCCGAAGATCGACCTGGTGGACACAGTGGACGATGACGGCCGCCTCACGGGCTGGGACACTGTGTGCGAATACGTGCTGGACAAGCTGGACTACACGAGCTTGAATGACACGGGCCTGCTTGCAGAGGAGTTCTTCATGAAGACATCCCGGAACGCTGGAGAGACGTTCCAGGACTGGGCGGCGCGGTTCGAGAAGAAGGAACGCGAGCTGCTTACACAGCTGCAGGCCATCGACGTGCACGTGCGGGAGGTGATCGCGAAACCGCTTCGGACCTGGTGGTTCCTTCGGAAGTCACGGCTCACTCCAGTGCTACGAGGAGAAGTGACGGCGACCGCAGGAGGCGACTTCGACTTTGCGAAGACCTACCGGACGCTCCTGACGCGCTTCCCGGCGGACGCGCTGGCCGAGCTGGACGGCAAGACGAAGCGCGAGGAGGCCCTGTACGAGAACGACGCTCACGAGGACGACTGCGAGACTGGTGGTGATCAAGAAGACCTGTACGAGATGGTCGAGCAGCTGATCAACATCGCGGAAGACGAGGACTTCGAAGAAGAAGAAAAATAAAAAGCTGCTGACCATGAGGCGGACAACGAGGTGTACGCCCAGTTTCGACAGGCAGGACGGAGCTTCAAGGACGCTCGAGATCTACTTCGACAAGTACGTGTGGCTCGGGACTACTGCCTGGTGGTGGTGCCCAAGAGCGAGCTGACGGATCAGCGGGCGGCACCGCCCCCTCGGCCTCATCACGAGAGCCGACCGCGACCTCATGGCAAGGGGCGTGGACGGGGTCAAGCCGATCGCCGTGTGCGATTCGAGTCAGGCCGTGACATGACCAAGATGAAATGCATCCTGTGCCGTCTGTTCGGTCATCGCGCTAGGGACTGCCCGAACAAGAACAAGCTGACGACGAACACGAGTGGCGATGGCCACAACACCCACAACGGCTTCATCCTGTCGGCCCTGGACGAGTACGTCTACTTGCTGGCGCGCGAGGGGATCTGGGCCATCCTGGACATCGGAGCGACCAGGGGCTTAGGCGGCATCGAGAGCGTGGAGAACCTGATGTACGAGATGCTGGATCAGCACGGGGTCGAGTTCGAGACGAAGGGCGAGGTCTACTCCTTCGCCTTCGGGAACGGGCTTCGGAAGAGCTCCATGGGGTCGGTCACTGGCAAGGTGTTCGTGGGCCCTAACCTGTACCCCGTGAGCCTCTCGGTGATGTCGAATGGGGTCCCCATCCTGCTGGGCATGTACATCCTGACTGACGACCTGAAGGTAGTCGTGGACTGTGGGCGGCACTGGCTGGGCTTGCCGACCCCTAGGAATAAGGTCTTCTACTGCGAGCGGCTCTCCAGCAAGCACCTGGCGATCAACCTGTCGACGCTGCAGTGGTGGCGAGAGGTTCCCTTGCCCTTGGCGCCAGCTTGCTCAACGGAGACTCCGACGGAGGCGGGCCTGGCCGTGCTGGGCGAGAAGAAGCCGGAGGAGCCCGGCGCGGGCGGCGCTGGCGGTCTTGCCGCGCGCTGGGGACAGCACCCCCTGGTGGTGGCGGCGAGCGAGATTGCATCTCCATCGTCATCTTCATCATCGGGGGGGCCCAAACTTCATCCCCCAGAAGCCTCGAGAGGACCCCGCCGACAAGACCGCTCCGAGAAGCCTCCAGCATCGTCCGAGACCCCTTCATCGCCGAGCCAAACCTCAAGTTCTACGAGAGTTGCGGAGACGAGTCGAACACGTACGCTACCGATGCCGACATCGAGCCGACCAAGACCGTGGTCGATTTCGAACGAGACCCGATTTTCACACATGAAAACGTTATCTCCGAGCTGTTCTAACTGTAGGTGTTTTACGGGATCAGAGGGAACTCTTGGGACCAGATGCAATGGGCCTCCTTCGTCAGAGCTACTTGGGAGCCCAAGGGGGACCTTGCCATCCAAACTGAGCATGAGAAAGGTCCAAGAGATAATCAAGTCCGAGCCTCAGCCTCGTGTGGCCCAAGAATGTTGCGCTCCCACGTGTGTGGGCTACCGCTCAGTTTCCATTTCATATCCTACATGTTCGAGCCGCAGAGGGTCCAACCCTGTGGATGTCATGCAGCAAATCTTCTTCGGCGCCCTCATCGGGGCCACCGTCGCCGCCGGCGTCGCGGCCAGCGTGGGCAGCCCCTCGGTCAAGGGCCCCGCCAACGGAGGCGTCATCGGCGCTGGCGAGCTCGACGGCTACCGCAGCAGCGGCGCCGCCTACGCCAACACCAGCACTGCCAATGGCACTTCCCGTCAACAGTCCGTCAACTCCGACATCGACTTGCGACCCGGCGGGGAAGTGTTCATGTTGTGGCGGGGGAGGGGGGGCGGGGCGCGGATGCAGCTGCGTAGGGGGCGAGAGCCACTGGTGCCCATCTACGGACCGCCGCCCCCTCCGGCAATGTTGGCTGCCGTGGCCAGCATGCCGCCGCCGCGGGTGCTAGCGCAGACGGGGGCCTTCGTGCCGCCACCGCCGACGCCAGCGCAACTGGCCCCTCCGAGATCGAAGTGTTCCTGCTGCGAGGCGCCCAATCGGACCATGCGGGGTTGCAGCTGCACGGGCGGGAAGAGCCATCAGTGCCTCAAGATGGTGGAGCCCGAGGGCCCGCAGGCGGTGGATATCAGGAGCCAAGCCGCGCCTATGCGCTGGAGGCGACTCGCGACGAAGTTGACCAAGACGGACCCCGAGGGCCCATGGGAGTTCCTGCCCAACGAGAAGGACACGATGCTGGACGATTCCGAGCTGCCGGAGGCCATGAAGAAGAGATCTCGCTGAAGCACCTGGACATGGCGGACCTTCAGAAGTTCTACCAGGTGAAGGAGAAGATCGATGAGGGGATCTACCAGAACGTGGCGACGGACATGCTCGAACTTACGAAGACGCAGCGCGTCGACTTGACGGAGGTCTGCTGCCCCGAGACGTCAGCTCTCGGACAAGCCGTGCTCTCCCAAGGTGGCCTGGTCGTACGATGTGATTTGTTCAACGGCTACGACATGGCAACCGCAACTGGACTACGACGAGCTGTGCATCTCCTGCGTCGGACCAGGCACAGACGTCTGGTACTCAGCCCGCCGTGCACCGCGGACTGCCCGATTCAGAACCTCAACCAGAGGACCGAGGACCGGCGGAAGCAGCTCATGAATAAGATGCGTCAGGCCCGTCGCATTCAGCGCAGCTGCCTCTTGCTCTACGAGGAAGCCAAGAATATCCTAGATTGCCACATTAACCTGGAGCAGCCATGGAACAGCCGCAGCTGGAAGGAGTCACCATCTCTCAAGAAGATGCGGTCTGAGATGCACGAGACGATCATTCATGGGTGTGCCTATGGATGAAGAAGGGCTGGCGCGCGGGCTCCACAGACTCGGAGTTTGCCGGGAAGCTGGGGAGTCACTGCTCTCACCGACCTGGACGTGCTGACAATCGCCACCATCGTGCCATCGAGGACGGTCCCGTGGTCGCGCAGACGGCCTACTACCCGCCAGCGCTGTGTAAGGCCTGGGCGAAGCACATCCTGAAGAAGAACGACAGCGTGCTGTTCGGCATGGAGATCTTCACGAGTCTTGAGCAGATCCCAGAGGAAGACGACTCCGAGATGCCAGACGCCGAGGACGACACAGAGGACACCGAGATGGAGGACGCCGCGACGCCCTCAAGGGCTTGGGCCTCGACAGCGACCTCTCGAGAAAGGAGGCGCTCGAGATCGAACAACGGCTCTCTCGACTCCACCGTAACCTCGGACATCCCAGCAACAGGACGCTCTACAAGATCCTGAAGGCATCAGGAGCACCGACCCAGGTCCTCAAGTTAGCCTTGGAGTTCGAGTGTCACGGCTGTCATGTTGGGAAACTACCTAGGGCTGTTCGAGTGGCCTCGGGAGTGGAGATCCCTGGGGTGCTTGAAGTACTGGCCTCGCATGGTCTCGAGTGGTTATCTCCCGGCGCGAGCTCACACTTCATGACGCTGAACCTGGGCGAAGGGTCTGGACTCACCAGCGTCACGTATCACGGCAAGAAGGGCGACCGGAGCGGCAACCGCGCAGCCAAGGAGGTGATCGGCATTTGGGAGTCGTGGTGTGCT